GCCCAAAACAAACCCAACACACAACACACAAACCCCACACCCCCTGGTTACCAAAAAATCACATCAAGAAAACAGAAGATTGATTCTCTGATCATGTTTGTGCAAGCAGATTGCCCAGTCTGAGGAAATACGTTACTGCAATTCTGTCCACGAAAATCAAGGATTTCTTTCATAGTTGTCTTAGCAAAGCACAATTGTGAAAAACCAAGTTGCCTATACCAAACTGATCTTGTGGCTGTCACATGGAACTGAAGATGCAGCTACAGCAGTAGCAGCTGCATAGAAAACTCTACTTGAAAGTGCCATGAGTTTGTATTTCCCCATTTCCATTTAATCATCTCCAAAACAGCAAATTTAAATTTGCTTAGGGTGTCATTTGTGGCAGTGCCTCAAAGCTTCCCAGTCTAAAGGCTGATGAAAACTTATCTTCGACTCCCAAGGTTCGGATTAATACTTTCTTGTGTGTATGGAAATGTATTACTTCCCACAAATGCAAAAAGAATGGATATCAAATATCTCAGAAGCTTTTCAGCTATGACTTGAATAAACAGAGAAGAGAAAGAAAAGGGAAGATGACTTTATTGCTTTCAAAACCAACCAGCTGAAGCCTTATAAGCATCTTTATTAACAATTCACTCTTTATAAACGAAATGGAGGTTCTGAAAAAGCAGCTGAAAATTGTCAGTATCAAACCCACCAGACTGTTTGATGTTTTTGAGGAGGGAAGAAGCAAAAGCAAAGTTATGCTTATGATTTTACACATGGATCTAAAGAGGAAAAAATGTAACACCTAAACCTCCCACTTGAGCAACAGAAGTGCTCATGGCTTTGCTTTTTAACATAATCTATGCAGTTTTACCCTCTAGCATAGGTCCCACCCTCAGCTCCTCTGGGATTAGGATTAAAGTTATTTGTGATACTAAGAGCTCATGCTCAATTATCCTTTCACACAACCCCAGAGAGAAGAGAAGATGTTTTACTCTTGGGCTTCCCTTAATGAAAGATTCCACAAAACTATCTTCAGAGGAAGAAACTAGGTGTAGTACCACAATAAACCCATTAAACCTAAACACAGTGCAGTCTACATATACATAACAATTAGATCGAGAGTCACAGAATCACAGACTGGTTTGGGTTGGAAGTGACCTTAAAGACCATCTAGTTCCAATTCCCCTGCCATGGGCAGGGACACCTTTCAGTAGACCAGGCTGCTCCAAGCCCCATCCAGTCTGGTCTTGAACACCTCCAGGGATGCCCACGATCTCTCTGGGCAGCCTGTGCCACTGCCTCACCACTCAAAAGAATTTCTTCCTAATATCTAATCTAAAGCTACCCCTCCTTCATCTTAAGGCCATTCCCTCTTGTTATATCACTCCACACCCTTGTGAAAAGCCCCTCTGCAGCTCTCTTGTAGCCCCTTTAATTACTGGAACGGGCTCTAAGGTCTTCCCAGAGCCTCCTCTTCTCCAGGCTGAACAGTCCCTGTCTCTCAGCCTGACTTCATTAGGAGAGGTGTTCTGGCCCTGTGATCAGGATTTCTGTTCCCTAAATGGGAACTCAAAAATTAATCAAAAGAAAGTTTGAGTCTACCTACCTCAGAGAGAGTTCAATTACAGTCTTTGCTAAATCCTCAACAATTCCTCCTACCAATTGTTATCACTTTCTTATCATGAATGAGCATAACCCAGATTTTCTTCAGACCATTTTATCTGCCAGGGACCCTCCACACCACCACAAGGTGATAGTTTCCATGGCAGATTTCACCACTGCCACCTCAATTCCACACCACACTTGATAACAAGAGGTGAAACCATTTAGAAAGGGAAAAAAAAAAAGCCACTTTTCTCCATGTCTCACCAAATAAAAACTACAGCTGATGAAGAGACCTTTGTAAAGTAATGAATAACTTGATTTCCCAACAGCCCCTAAATTTTCAAGAGTCGTATTCTTAAGATGTCTGCATATCTGCCCAAAGTACAATTATAAATCTTGGTCAAAGAATGGTAGATAATCTCCAAATAGCAGCATATCTCAAGTTTCAGTAATGAAGAGACTACTCTAGTGAAAGAAAAAAGTCATGGGCTCTGTACCAAGTATCACATAAATTGCTTGTTCAGGCTACACTGGCCAAAGCACAAGCTAAAAATTATGTTGTGCTCTTGAGTACATCATAATCAGCTGTGAGGACAAATACTTACAGCATAACCACCTTCCTGTCATTCTAATATGAATTATTTTACCACTTTTATTTACTCAGGTAGTATATAACACAGTAAACTTTACACAAGGTCAGTGAGGACAAAATGCAGATCTCAGATGATTTGTGATTTCACTATTTACTACCAAGGTTTACAAGCAGCATCAACAGATGTTAGGGTGATCTTAAACCTGCATGGAGCTTCATTTATCTCAGACTTCCCATAGGTAAAGAGACATGGTGATACAGATTAGAGAATCAGAAGCCTCAGTGTATTGTGACAGCTCAATCAAAAAATAATACATTCATGAAGCAGCTTCACTGGAAACAAGACTCTTGTACTAAAGTCTGCTAATGACACTGCATTGTTGCACTGATGAATGAGGCTAGAAAATACTTAATTTACTTCAGGGTTTTAAGCAGCAACTCTGAGGCAAAAATGATTTACAAAAATATGAAACTCTAGAAGTCTAGTAAAAAAAAATCACCAGAATTATTAAACATGATATTGTCAGGATGCTCCATAAATGCTATGGTTGGCCAGACAGAAAAAACAAAATTACTAACAACAGCTAACATGAATTGGTCTAAAGTCAGCATTAAAATGTTGCAGCTGGTAAAGAGAGGAAGGGTAAGCCTGACATGCTTCCTTTCTGTGATCACTTCATAGCCAACAGCTGCATGTTATAAAGAAAACAATGGCAGTATCATGTGTATTTGTACACATATGTGTTTCTGCTCCAGTAAAATGACAAACTGTTGGGCAACAAAATGCCTTTATACAGTTTTCAGATTACCTCAATTGCCTTAGCACAGCAAAACAAAAAGGCTGCTGAAGTATTACAGACAAAACCAACTGGTAACTGCTAGTGTAATCACAGTGTTTACTCACCTAGCTTATTTTCTGAACAATTCCTGCCTACCAGAGAAGACACTTATGGTTACACTGGAATCATACGGCTCCCAGAGTTTGCTGTCAGGAAACTGCTATGAAGGCAGAAGTAGAAACAAGTTTTTAATTTCCATTTGGCTGCCTCTGATCAGGCTAATTGCCACTGATTGCTGCAACTGGATGAAGAGTAGGCACTTCCACAAGGATCAGCTTTAAGCTCTACTCTACTCATTGGTTCTACCCAGTCTGGAGATACCTAACAGTACCATTATCCAGTCATCAGAACAATACATTAATCAAACCTTAAGAAACTGTTATGCAAAAGTTTTTCTGTTGTTGCCATTTAATAGTTGCTTCAGACATTTTAAACACTGTACCAAGAGTCAAAGGTAAAAATCTGAAACTCTAATAAGATGAATCATGTTCTTTGCCACAGAGCAAGCCTCAGGCAGCAAAAAGCTATGCAAACACTGTCAACTGAAGATTCCTAACAGGCTCCTTCAACACTGCTTGTGAAGGCCAAAACTGTGAATCTAGTCAACTCCAAGAATAACAAACACCATTCAAATCACCCTAAGAACTGATGAGAGATGTTTCCTAGTCAGATAAGAACAGTGAACCTTTGCCTTAAGTTTTAAAGCAACAACATGAACATGCTTCCAATTATCTGCAGATCTACTGGAATAACAGCATCAAGCCTCTCTTTTGTCCAGCTACAAAAAGAAAATATACAAGGATGTTTTTCATTTTATATATAGCCCAGAAACTGTAACAATGCTGCACTCGCTCACTTTCCACCACAGTGGAAGATTTTCCAACCCTGTAGCAGCAATGTGGCTCACCCTGCAGGTGCAACATCTCTTCAGCTACTTGTTCCTAGTCCTCCTTCCCTCTAACCAAGACAGGAGACAAGGGGGAGAGAAAGGTACCACAAGATAAGATGTAGCATAACACACTCAAAGGGCTGTTGTAAATTCCTATAAGCATATTTTACTACGTAGCAAGAGACACACAAAGGTCTGTCTCACCAAGAGATAACATGTGATCAGGCAATCATGTGCAAATCCACTCTCCCAGCCTTCTTTCAGTGGCACTATCCTACCAAAGGCAGCACTTGCTGCTCTGTTTTGACAAATTTAAGCAGGGAACACCCTCTGAACAGAAGTCCTTATTTTTACAGGAAACCTAAGCAAAAAGAAGACATAGGAGCACATCTATCACCCTGTTTACCAAGTTGTCCTAACTCTTCTGCTTTCCTCCCTTTTTAGGACTGCAGAGATCGTTAGCAGGACAGACTCAGACCTTCCTATGAGTCAGGACTGTCAGTACCTGTTTAGACTTGGTGGCAGGACAAAACAGTCCATTCACTGAAGACAAAATTTGTGACTTCAAATGACATCTCAAAACATGTATTTATTTAAGCTGAAGGTACCAGGTAGGTGATCTCGGTATGTCAAATCCTAAGAGTCATTAAGCACTGTAAGGAAGGGCATTTTTATATCATGACCAGTAATAAATATAATAAATGTTTTCCTTCAGTTAATAACCAATAAAGTGCATATGGTAGAGCTGCAGAGCAGAGTCATACAAACCCAGTTAGGCTAAGAGGGAAAACATCTGTCCAGTTTCACCAGCCTAAAGTGCAACCATTTAAAGCAGTAAACATCTACTATGAACCGGAAGACCATACCCCTTTGGCAGAGAATTTGATTTTCTTCATGTGTTCAAGTTACCACAGAAGAAAATCCTCCTCTGAGCTTGAACTTCAGATTGGCACTGACAAAGGCTAGACTTTGAATTTTGTTTTCTAAGACATTCCAAATACCCAACTCTGAAAAATCATCTTATGGTCAAGAGAGAAAAATACAAATTAAACATCCCACAAATATTTTTAGCAATTGCCATACCCACCTGCTACATTAAGCTTTTCAACTGCTCCTAAGCTGGGAGCAGAAGTGGTAGTATTGTTGGTAGAGTTTGCTCCTGTTCCATTAAGCACAAGATTTTCCACCTTGGACTCCAGCTTCCCAATGCGCTGCAAGATATTATCCAACAGGACAGCAAGTGTCTTCTTCAAATCTACACATGAAAATGAAAAGTTAAATTGCCTAATAATGCAATGCACACTTGTCAGACAGAATCCAAATACAGATACAAGAATGAGACTGGATATATGTACAGACACTTTCTCAGTGCAAATCAGCAGTTCTATGCACTCATTTTCCTTTCTTTGTTCAGCCTCAGATACAAGTTTCCCTGGATGTGGAACTTGACATCCTGTGCATTTTACAAAGCACTCTATAACTCATACAGATATCCATGTTCAAGGTGAAGTGTGAGCCTTTATGGGGACATATATAGGAACAGAAAAATGCATGCTTTGTAATAGCTCAGGTAACAAGAAGCTGCTTCAAAAATAATGAGTCTAAACATAAATCCATATTCAAGCACAACCAGAGGAACAGTTCGTTAGATGCTCAGTCACCTGGGAACAAAAATCCCCTTCCCAAAAGGGACAGCTTTGAGCCAGTACAAAAACCTCCTAAATTTTCTCCAAATAACAACCTTCTGCAGTAGCAAAAAAAAAAAAAAAGTTAAGTTCAACCTTTCTGTCATATTCATATAAGAAAACATCACCTGTTTCTTGCCTTCAATCTGTTTCTGATTGCATCTATTTGGTCTGACACAGCACTTTCTTGGCATGGAAAGCAACAAACAGTAACAGGATTTTCCATACCAAGTGACAACACAGGAGTTCTCTGATATTTTTTCTTTTACTTACATTTTGTTTAGATTCCTTGAAGGAACACAGACAGTTTGGCAAGCTAAAAAGAACTGAGGGCAAGAGAAAACTAGACCACTATCAGAATAAACTGTATAATTATAATGGCAACAAGCCAAAGAAGATGAAAGTAGTGTTTTTTGTTCATTTACCCTTGTAAAGATTAAAGAATTTGGCATGACAAATTTACATTATTTTCCCATTTAATTACTTAAAATAATTACATGTGTATAATACATTTTCTGTTTTCCACAACTTTACAATCAAATAACTTTCTGATCTGTAATAGAAAATGTCTCCATACACCTGAAGAAACTCCACTGCCTCTACATCAGTTGTATTTTTGCCACAGTTACTCTGTCCTCCTTCTTTTAGAATTCTTCTCATGACTATCTCAATTCCTGTGCAAATGAGAAAGCAAGTAAGAAAAGGCTATTACTTCTAAAAAGCTTATGATTCTTTTTTTTCCAAATAAAAGGAGAGTTATATTTATTCCTTGGAGCCATAAAGTAGATCTTTTTTCTTTACAACTGTGTGTTTTCCTTTGTCCTGTAAAGATCAGAAGGTGGAAACTGAAGCACTAGTCATCTGGACTATTTGAAAAGGGGTCCAGAAGTCATTTAATAGCACAGTGTGCAGAAGAAAAGGAAAGAATGGACTTAAAATGAACAAAACCATGCTATAGAGGAGGTAAAAAACACAGGAGAAAAAGGTAGTAAAAACCTCAGGAAACAGTGAAGCATAAAGGCAGACACAGATCATAGGGACAAAAATGGCTAAAAAATTATTACTTTTTAATTCTGATATCAGAATACTGATATGAGAGGTTGTCTGTCAGAACAAAAGGGCAAGTGGGAGCTAGTCTGAGGAGGGGAAAGCAGAAGCACAGATTCATAATAATTTTTGCAAAGCAACCATTTACTGCTAAAAAACCAACCCTAATACTCACTGTGCATATCTGGATTATAACTTTTAGAAGGAAAGAGTTTGATCCACCTACCTGACAGGTGAATATATGGTAGAAAGAAAAAGTGAGGAAATAAACAAGCTGTGCAAACACAATTAAGGAATAACTGAAAACCTTCTGAGTGGGTGAAATCAGCCAAATCAAGCAAACAAACTTATTCTTGAACATGGAAACAATGACTGTGCTCACTTAGAGCAATCAGAGGGTAATATTAAAAGAAATAAGAAGGTTAAGCCAGCAAGAAGGGAAATTTTCACAGAAAGCAACTTAATAGAGCAACTTCTACCAAATATTATTAACATCAGCCATTAATGTGTTTATTCCTGAACAGTTCTCTCATCATCTGCTATCAACAAATCCTTTTGTATGCCCAACAGGACAAATTAACTTATTTATTAAGCAATTACCTTACAGTTTCTTAAGGTATTATTTAATACGGTGTTATTTACTCACCATAGTGCTTTTCCCTCCAGTATTTTAAATAAACACATCACCATTATTTTGCATCTTTCCAAACTACTTTGTTGAAAGCACCTACCCGAATTTAAGTCTTTAAACTAAAACCCCTTCTTATCCATGGACTTGAAATTTCTACACAAAATGTAGCTTTACCTTCACAGAAGCATCACAAAGTGATTTCACCTGCTTTCAAATGCAGTTTAACTTCTCCTAGGGAACTTGACCACTGTTTGGCAGCAAGTCAGCTCATTCCTCAGCGGGATTTGGAACAGGAAATGAATGCCACAGGCAGAAAGCTGCAGGGGGAACTCAGTTTAAGGATATCCTGTACCCTCAGACCTCACTTGAGCACATACTAATGCAGTTACCCTCCAATTTCTGGAGTCAGATTGTTTGGGGGTTGATGTTGCCTTGTTTTCTTCAATTCACCTACCATCAAGCTCCCTTACATAATGGCACACTGGTGACGGCTACACAGCAGTGCTTTGTTTTAAGCCCAAGCACACAATCCTCTAAGGACCTCTACTTGCTTGGAGGTCTTCAACCCAAATATTGATCTAGCACCACTCTATTTAGCTGGTGCTGCTCTGTAAGACTACGATACCACTACAGATTGAACATGCAGTCACAAATCAGGATTTACCAAATAAGGGTGGGTTGTTTTATAAGCAATGAAGCAATACAATTGTTAGCTATGTTTGGGACAATAATCTCAAGCTTACAGGGAAGCAAATGTACACAAATTCAAAAATTTGGTTTTTAGAGGAAAAAGGAGATAACAGAAACAAGACACAGACAGAACCTCCCAGCAGAATCTTTTCACTGCATTCACCCGAAAGTAGAGTATTAAGAGAAAACTAAAGGAAAAGGTCTCACTATTATCTGTTGCATACTAGTCTATATTCTTTGTCTAAGCCTACAAAAGCATCTACCTATTTTCTTCAGAACTGAATATTAAGGCAACTATAAAAAGAAACAAATCCAGATGACTAATTAGCCATTAGCTTTCCAGACAGCCTGAAAGTACATAAGTAAGTAGGAAAGAGAGTCTAAAAAATATGCTAAACAAGTAAGGTGCATGATGTGATTTTATCAGATTGAAAAGGGACCACACCTAACCTGAAACTGGATTATATTTTTAATTTCATAGTATTTTCTGGTGATATGCTTCATTCTTTTCTGCTTGGTTTGTGTCACACACAAACTCAACTCTCATATACAAACTGGAAGAGAATAAGCATTAAAACCTACTGCTGAACAAAGCACTGAAACTCACTGAGTTCTCTCCCCTGAGGCAAACAGGGTATATTTAAGCTTAATTTAAAATTATCCCAGATAAATAAACTTTAACATTAAGTAAATTGACTGAACAAAGACGTGAAATGGGAAAGAAAAAGAAATAAACATAGCAGGTCTTCACTTTGTGAGGCAAGGTTTTCCACTGGGAATTTCTTAGATCACTGACACGCAAACTGAAAAGCCTCCCAAGTTTCTCAAGAACACCAAAAAAGCTTTTTAAAATTAAGTTCAAACAAATAACCTAAAGCATACTAGAGAGAGCTACGAGACAGATGTGATAAAAATTAGCAGACAGCTTCGTTTCCAAGTGACTGGAAATATAAAATCTGTCCCATTTCATACTTACAAGGTAAGACCATTTTCTCCATCTATTCAGAAAATCCACAGGGCAAAGTACTGCCAATTAAGCAGCAATATGAAGTCAAATGTTTGGGCACTTTAGTAAAAAGGTTTAATCAGATTATCAAGTAACCTAGAGCACACACTTACCGTATGCTGTCACTGTCCCGACGTAAGGCCCATCAACCACATTTTTATTTTCTTCAGCTAATGCTTTGATGTATCTTTTGCTGAGATCCAAAATTTGCTCCCGCAGGACTGAACTGCTTTCATGTTGTGTTTGCTGCTGAATAGTAAAATGCAGAAGCATCATTCCCCAAATAAAACCAAAAGTCACCAGAAAAAAGCCGAGTTTCTGAGAGGACAGCTTCCATGGAGAGAATGCCATGGTTCCCAACAGCTTCACACAGGTACTACAAAGGTTCCTAAAGCATGAAGTCAAACAGCAAATTCATGGTCCAGGTACATAAATATCACAGAGCAGGACTCAGTCTTATTCCAACTCCTTTGTCAACGTGTATCCGTATTTCAGTTCCATCCTGTTGCAAGAGAAAAGAAAAGAAGCAAAGTTAACACATTACAAGTTATTACCAGCCATAGTAGGTTTGCCCTCTAACTGGTGCAAATCAGGAGCAGACAATATATTTGCTTTGTAAATGTTTAATTTGCATGTCTCATCATTGTACTGTACTAGCCAGAGCAGAAAGAAGCTGAGAAAAGCACTGGAAAGACAACAAAGTAGGAGTGATGAGCCTGAGCAGGTCTAGAACACCTCCCAGGACCTGGATCATATTCAATGCTTGAAGGGGTTTCTGAGCTGAATTTCAAGGGAAGGCTGCTTTTACATATTTGTTTTCGCGTGCGCACGCAAAACCTTGTGGTGTTGCCAGCACAGCAATTGAAGACAATTCTCAACGTAATTCAGTTCTCAGAAAACAAGTAATTTTAGCTGGCAGTGACACTGCTCGGAGTTCCTGGCAAGAGCCACGGCATATGGCTAGATAGGTGATCAGGAAATCAGACTCCCTCAGGGGTAAAGAGGAAAAAAAGAAATCTACATTATTTAAGCCAATGCACTCCCCTGGCTCACACTGCAAGCACTCAGAAGGTTGGAATAACCTCCAGCTCCTGTGTGGCCTCTGCCATGCACACTTACTCCTTATTCATCAAACATACTCCAAGGAGTCTACTCTTTGCAACTAAATTGAAAACACATACTTCTGAATGTTACAACATGTCTTTTGTACATGAACCTAATATTCTCAGAGCTTTCCACACACTAGGGAAAAAGAATTGTAATAACAGCCTTCGAGACACAGTAGGACCATCTCTTTGTGGTAAGCTCAAATATAAAACCTGGCATGAACAACCCAAAGGCAAGAAAACTCGGTGATGATGGGTAGAGGCAGGGTCCTTAGCATGAAGCCCAACGAGAAGAAAGGTAATTAAAAGGTAATTAAGTGTAACCTATCGTGTTAGAACACAGATTTGGTAAAATGTCATCCTTTTAACTTCATAATGCTCCCAGACAGGATTAGAGATCCTAATGTTCCCTTCCATTTTGCACTTGCACAGATAATGCAGATGTTGCTCTGCTTTAATAAGATAATTACACAGATGCCTGCTCGCAGTGCTCCCTGTTTGCTGAAATTCCTTTCAGATCTCGTGCTTTCAGTTGAACCAGCATCTCTGCAGAGGGACAGAACACCTTCGGAGCACTTAACTTCCAACACGCCCCGTGCGCGTGCACTTCGCACCATTGATTACGGTCGATTGTAGAGGTGAAATTGATTACTCAGTCAACTAAGAGCAGGCAAGGCAGAGACTGTCCCATGCAATAAAGAACAATGTGCACCCATCTTTTGCTCAAGGAGGAACGATGCAGAGAAATTAATTGCAAGTAGAGTGAAAAACGTTTTAAAGCCCTCAAGTTGACTTTTTCCACACCGAAAATATCGCAATAAAGAAAATCAATGGTCTCAACAGGGAAAACGAAGGACTTTGTTTAATGCTGCTCTCCATAAACTTCAGTTAATTTTCCAAGATATGGCAGAAGCTTCATTTCTTTCTATTTACTTCACCATAGCCTTGGGATACTCTTGGGCTGACGAAATAGTAAATATTGTTATTTCTTTAAAAACTGAATGTTTTACTATTGTTTTGCAATATCTGGCACAATAAAGTACAGAAAATTCCATAGTTTAAAACAACATCATGACTTTAGAAAGAAATCCAAATTCCCTCAGTGACTTAATTTCAAGTAAGAGCTGACAGCACCCTCTCCAGCAGTAAGATCTGTGGTTAAACAGTCAGTATTTCTTCCCCAATTATCAGTTGTTTGTGAAATGGAAAACATTGAATAATAAGAAAGTAAACCTATCACCACCATATTTTAACAGACAAGTGTTAATGATTTTTTATGACTAGTTGTTTAGGGAAGAAAACCTCTCAACATAATTAACATTAAAACCAGCAATTAAAAAATGCAATTATTTCACAGTCTTTAAAGTTCTGGAACAGAAACAAGGATGTTATAAAAAACAGTATATATGACACTGAATTCTGAGAATGATCTCCTTAAATACAGTTGTTGACTTTTCTGTTCATTAACGGAAAAAAAATACCTTAAATCCATTCAAAAATCCTAAAAAGGTAGACAGCAAATATTAAATGTTTTGCCATAAGGATGGACTAAAATTCATTGGCAGATGGAAGAATGGTCCCCACTATTTCAACAAACAAAAAAGCCCCAAATTCAAACCCAAACACCAGCCTTATTTTTCCTCCACTAAGCAATTCCAGTGGTCAACAACCTGATGTAGGCCCAACAACATGGACTTAATTAATTAACTTTACAGCCCTGCTGGTGGCCAAGGAGGTTTGTAAAGTGCACAGCAGAATCTCTGTGCTTCCCAGCACTTCCACAGCCAGCTGCACTGACTTTGGTCTATGTTTAATCCTAGATTTGACAAGCTGTCAAGGGCTGCAACTCAACTTTTCCAAGGTTAATGATTACCACATACTTATAATGAGTCATTATTTGGTACCTGAGTGGACAGTGGACAGAAGATATCAAGGGGTTGTGTGAAATGCATGAAGACAGCAGCACAGACAGGCCTCTGTGAATCTCTGCTTTGACAGGAAATTAATAACTGAACTGAGCAAGAGTTGAAGCAATAAACACCCATTTGTCTACTCTAATTACTGACAGATTTGGACTGACAAGTTATCTCTCTGCCCATACCAAGTAAGCCATTCCCAAACTTAAGGTGGTTGAGTATTTCTCTTATTCTCCTGTGTGCCTTACAAATGTTCCCAAAGGAGCCAACACTTAACTACTAATGTCTTTTCCTGGTCTGGTCTCCAAAATGCAAAATGGAAGTTATATTTAAAGAGGATATGGAAAAACATATTTGCATATGCCTCTAAAGACTGACAAGTGCTTTTTTGCCCCCTTTTTTCTTTTTAAGATTCAGGAAGATGTGGTCTCACTCTAAGACACCTCTTGAAATAATTCCAGCACCCTCTGGAAACTGCATGTTGTAGTTGCAAGGTGGTTTGTGAAAGTGTTAGGAAGGTAATTCTTCCTCCTGACTTACTCAGAGCAGCTAATGCACAAAAGCTAAACACCAAGTGTGAAAAACAGGATGAAGGTGAAAAGATATACAAAGTAAGAATACCTTTAATAAACAACAGCTTTGTTAGGATGTTCTTCAAATTCAGCTCCAACCAGCCACAAATCTCACCACAACTGAACCAACACACTGGAGGGAAGGATATGTTGTGTGGTTTTTTGGGGGCTGTTTCAGTGTTTTATTTTAAAACAGACCAGTTTTTTGTTAAAAGCACACCACAACTTACAACCAAATGCACAAAAATGATTAGCATATTTCTCTGGAAAAGGGCTAACCTACACTTACACAGGCATACGAGTTTTGAAATACTACAAGTGCTACTCTACACCTTCATTAATAACACATTTTTTTCTGTTCTATATTTAATAAACCCATGTTCAACAGCTGGTCAATTCACTAGTCAGAGAGGATAACATTACCATGTCGATGTCATCCTACAAAAGAACCCTCAGACTATTTAGAATCATCTCAGGTAAGTATCCCAATGCTGAAGTGATCCCTACATCAGGGATGCAAACCACACACTTATCAGCATTTTAAGCCTCTACTTTTTTTTTAAAAATGCTTAAAATAGAGTACAAACAGTTAATCTTCATGTGAACAGATTTTGTGACACATATCCACATATTCCTCTTCACTTTTTAAGAAGGAGAATTAATCATCTACAAGAGATTAAGCAAAGTCTCTTTATAAGTACGTACACACAGCTTGACGTTCTATATGACAAATGGCACTTACTCAGGGCAAGCTCAGAGCACCACTATCCTCAGGATAGTCAGGATTACAGAGTCACCAGTTGCATGCACTGTTCATTACTAGCTACAGTTATAAAACCTCAGCTGTCTGTAGCCAAAGCAGTAGCTTTTGCACCCATAAAAACAGCAGTTTGAGTCATACTTCATTAGTATCTTGTTATGAACTCCAGCATAAGCAACCTTACACAGCATGACTAGAAAACAGTGTACATGCATTTTTCTACCAAGCAGCTCAGCAAAAATTGCCTTGCCACTGCTAGGAACAGGTCTCAGGCCTTATGTCAACTGTGTTCCAATGCCAAACATGCAAGGCCCAAATTTTGGCCTCTTATGCTTATGAAATTATTTAGAGAACTTGGGTGAGCTAGAGTTGGCTACTTCAGCTTAGACATGAGATAAGAACAAAGGCCTGGAAAACATGGGCACAGGCTGAAATTGTGATGGTCAACCTTGAGCTTTGGGGAAAAAACTTCTTTTCTTTTAATAGCAGCAAAAGCTGAAAAGGAGGCATAAAACTGCTAAGCAACAAGCAAAGGTACCCAAGAGCCATCAAGGACCTCAGCCACTAGTGCCAAACCCATAGCACCAGCTCTGTGGGACCCTGTGCTTACAATTTATCATGAGACTGTTACAGGCTAATTGCTTTGACTAGGCAGTGCATTAGCAGAAAGGAGTAAAACCTAGCCATTAGCAACATGTATTGGTAATGAATATCAGCCTAGTGAAGTTCTGTGAGAAAGTTTAAAGCTGGTTTAAAATTGCTTTGTTTTATCAGCCTTCTAAACATTCAGTCACTGCAATATCTCATACTCTTCTCACATATACCCATATACAAACAAGGTGTATTGATCAATTGCAACACCATGCCAACCTGCCTGACTGCACAGCTGGACTTGTACCACAACCAGCTCCAAGAAGTGCTCCTAAAAACCCACACATCAGGATCCTAATGCAAATATGGACCTATTATCCAGATTGTTTTTTGAAGAGGGCAAACTGCACTTCTATTTGCAACTGTTTGATTCTGTAGAACAAGTTGTTACAGACCAGCCCAGGACAAACATGGAGATGTGAATTTCCTCTATTCTTGTGAAGGGTGTGTTAATTTAAAGCCAGGATAACTCAAGCGTGAAGCCAGGGGGGCTGCCAGC